TAGGTAGAGAGCAAATGTTTTGAGAATGATGAGGGCAATGAATGTACAAATGTGCTTTACACAATTGATGTATGTATGGATTGTGGTAAGAGTTGTATGAGCCCCCAATAAAATGATTTTTTTTAAATGACAGCTCATTTTTGAACACAAGAACCAAATTCTCCAGATCCGTCATGTCACTCTTTGAAATGTGGAAGCCTTTAGCTATTTTAGCCAGAAAGGTATCTTCAAATGGGCTCTACACAATGGCATCTCCGATTTCGTATGCACCATCTAATAATTTTAGACTTTGCAAAGGTAAATCAGTATCATAATTTTACACATTAATCATTGAAATGAGCTTTAATACAATGATTCTTTTATGGCCACTGAGTTTCAAACACAATGTTTTCTCCTACCCTATATGATTAGACAGCCATTTCCTTTCTTTCCTTTTTGTTTTTAATCATTTTATTGGGGGCTCCTACAACTCTTACCACAATCCATACCTACATCCATTGTGTCAAGCACATTTGTACATCTGTTGCCATCATCATTCTCAAAACATTTGCTTTCTACTTGAGCCCTTGGTATCAGCAACTCATTTTTTTCCTCCCCCACCCCACCCTCCCTCATGAACCCTTGACAATTTATAAATCATTATTATTTTTTCATGTCTCACACCGAACGCTGTCTCCCTTCACCCACTTTTCTGTTGTTCGTCCCCCTGGGAGAGGGTTATATGTAGATCCTTGTGATTGGTTTCCCTTTTATCCCCCCACCTTCCCCTTGCCTTCCTAGTATGGTTACTCTCAATATTGGTCCTGAGGGGTTTATCTGTCCTGGATTCCCTGGGTTTCCAGCTCTTATCTGTACCCGTGTACATGCTCTGGTCTAGCCGGATTGGTAAAGTAGAATGCGGGTCATGATAGTGGGGGGAAGCATAAAAGGACTAGACAGCTGTTTCTTGAGGTCATGCTTCAAAATTGTGTTTTCTCCTGGGAGAGAAATACTTTGCCAATTTGCCTGTTTTTAGCCTTGTCCAACATGGTTTCTAATTACTGTCAACCATTTGACTAGACGTATTACAGAAAGTGCACTAACTTTTACTCCAGCCTCAAAATAATCTATCACAGGTCATGTGGGCAAACTGATTCAAACCTAGCATTACAGAAGCCTTGTCATCAAACTGGAATCACTCCTTAGCTTATCAACGTGACTCCAGGCAAAAACACTCCATTCATTGAGTAAGATATGGCAAAATAAATAAAGGATGGGGGGGGCGGACGGCAGAGAAAGAGGAGCTGATATCAAGGAGTTCAAGAAGAAAGAACATGTTTTGAAACTGCTTGTGGTAGCAACGGTACAATACTGCTTGATGTGATGGAACTATGAAGTGTTATGATGTCTGTAAGAGCTCCCAATAAAAGGATTAAAACTTTAAAACAAAACAACAACAAAACCTCCCGATACTCACAGGATCATTTCCATTTTGACTTTCCACTGTGAACGTACTCCATTGTACTTATCACAGTGTCCATGTTTAAACTTGAATGCGGTCAACGCATGCAAGCACTCAAACACACAGAGAAAGAGATCATTACAACAAAAAGCTCATGCTTACCAAATTTCGCATCCGCAGAAGTCTGAAGAATCTTGACCATGTAGCTTAAGCTTTCCGGGCCGCAGTTTAATAGTTTGGGCAAGTAGTAATCAATCACGTACGATTTCTGGTTGAGGTTCCCTTCACACAATATACAGAGAAGAGGAGAAATCCAAGTCTCGTGCAACTGGTCGATCCAAGTACCATCAACTGCCTGGGATTTCAAACGGCTCTTGTGAGTCTTAAACATGGTTTCCAAGAGGCTGCTTGCATAGGGAACCAAGGACTGGTCCCCCATCACCTCCAAGATTTGAGATGGAATCGTTTCATCTACTGCCAAAACATGCTCAATCCCTAGATACTCTACCAAACAGCAGAGGCACGTGTACTTGCCCTTCACATGCCACTCTAACTGCAGGAGACTCTCGGTCAGACTGGCAAAGAAGGGATCAGTGGTCAAACATGCCCCTTGCACGGTAAGCCCGTGCATCTGTAGCAGGTTGCTGAATATGAGTCTGGTTTGGTGTCTCAGAGCATCCAGGGGGTGCTCCCAGTGGGTGTAGACATATTCCAAAAGTCTCTCAGCGAGGCTTGAATTCCCACTCAAACTACTCTTTAGGGCAGGAGAACTTGATCTAAGGACACCTATGGCTGAACTGGTCCAAGATGTCAGGATTCGGGACAGAAACATCTCCAGAGTTGATTCCTTGATCCTTTAAAAAAAAAAAAAAAAAGCCACATTACTATAAACTGACTAGGAAAAGAAAGTTGATCTTATAATTAATCTGATTTTGAAAATCTAAACTATATATATCAGAAACGCCAGTAATTGTAAATTGACAGTAATAGAAAAAAATAGAGTCAAGTGATGTTAACTAGCCTGGCAACAGTTTGGGCTGGGGTTCTGATTAGAAAGATGCATTAAGGTTACGTATTTACTTTTCTAAACTTTGTTTTACCCATTTAACAAAATACAGTTTCCTAGCCTGTCTATCCAGGGGCTCCGAGGGTGCCGTGCGTCAGTGGTTGGGCTGCTAACCACCAGGAGCGGGGCTCAAACTTACCAGCTGCTCCTTGGGAGGAAGACACGGCCTTCTGCCCCCATCAAGACTGACAGCCTGGGAAACGCAGAGGCAGTTCTTCTCAGCCCTAGAGGATCACTGTGAATGGGAACTAACTCATGGCAGAGGGCTTGGTACTTTTTCTTATTTTATATGACAATCAAAACGAGACCCCTATGGAAAAGTTCCTGTGTTTGTGTAAGAGTGTATAATGTTCTATATAAGCTCTAAAGCATTGAACATACAGGAAATGTTGTCGTTTTTTAAAATGTCAGCTTTGGAATTGAAGGTTAAAATTCATTTTAGAAATGTTCGTTGGAGGTTAATCTACACTAATTATCCCTTTAACTCTTTTCCTTCCATCATCATCCCATTTTCTCCTGTCCTACTTCCATTGCCACTTCAGTCCCAACACATCCTTTACTTTTAAATTAGGATTTATCCTGACGGCTTTACAGAGAATCGCTGAACGGACTGACTAGTTCTGCTGCCATCTCTAAAATGCGTCTAATTACATCATAGAAACAAAACAAATCTCAAAATAAAAAGGGAGGCAGCAGCACCACAACTTACTGTGAACTCAGGGCAAACAAAACCTGGGCAGCATCCAGGAGCAGGGCCTCCCCCGGCAGACCCATGCTCCCATCCTGCCAGTCCAGCATGGCGAGGGCCCCCTGACACAGGAATAAGAGAGCAGAACCAGACAGCTCAGCACAACAGAGGCTCCTGCAGCTGCTCAGAAACCACTCGGGAGCACGGGCACAGTCCACGGAACGAAGAAGCAAACTACTAATCTGGGAATACAAGAGAGTTAACAGAGGGAGAGACTTCAAAACAGCAATTCAAAAATATACTTTCCTTAAAACACCCCACACAAAAAATAACTGAGTCTAACGTTTGTGGCGTTTTTTCGTCTTGCTGTAAGCCAGAAGCATTAAAGTATCTTAAACTACATATAATTTAGAACTGGTATATCAGAGCACAGCGCCACCTGCAGGTAGATGAGCTTACAAAGGCTTTTTAAGGGTGATTTGAGAAATTTTCCACTTTATCCCGTGATAATTACTTCTTATGACCTCACAGAACAATACACATACATTTTGTCTAAAGTCAGGCAGAGGCTAAATTTTCTAGATGATACAATAAAATGTTTAAAATCTGCTAGTAGTAAATACAGGATTATAGTCTAAATCACTGGTTCCCACACTTGGGTGGTTCCCTGCCCCCTTTTCATGGGGGGGGGGGAGGGGGCGGGGAACGGACAAGAAATTACTCAGTGCCCTGCCTAGTGCTTTAAAAAGTCTATTAATAATCCAGGAAAAAGTGTCTCTCACTGTCCGACTCATAGGGACTAAAGCACAGAGCAGAAGTGCCCCTGAGTTTCAGAAGCAATCAAGCTTCATGGGACCAGAGCTCCTCCTCTCCTCAGCCTCCTCTGGTGGATCCCAAGCTGACCTTGTGGCCAGCAGCCCGGCGTATAATGTGTCATGCCACCGTCTGCTTCTGCAGCTCCTCACCCCACTCCCTATCATTTCACCGCACCCAGGGGGCAGTATCGCCCACTCTGGGAAACACTTGTCAAAATTACCACATAATACTTTCCTTATGAATCAAATTCTCTGGACAATTGACTTTAATATGCTTCCTGTAAGAATATGCAGGTTATTTTTAATAAAGAGAACATACCTTTCACAAACTTATAATTGTACATATTACTACACTCCTATCATTAACTAAGTCACTAAAATACAATTATAAAAAGGCGATGCACTTACCAAACCAGGGATCTTTTCAGGTGGATCAAACATGGTCTTAATAAAGAGAATAACAGCTAATCCAGATGTGCTCTGAAGCGTCTGCAATAGGTCATCTATTTGGCAAAAAAGCAGAAAGCCTGTATCACATGACCATGGATTGGCTGGTACAACAGAGAGCGGGTGTGTGGGGGTCAGTCAGTCCTGAGAGCAAATTCTAGCGAAGCCGCTTTCCAAGGCATTCAGCAAGTCAGTTCACCGCCCGGGGACTGAGTTTCCCAGTTTATAAAGAACCCCAAAGCCAAGCCCTTTGCCACAGAGTTGATTCCAGCTCACAGTGACTACGGGACGGAGCAGAACTGCCCACAGGGTTTCCGAGGCTGCCACTTGACACGCTGACTGCCACACCTTATTGTCCACGGAGCAGAGGGGGGTTGAAGCCACCAAACTGCTTTTGTGTTTTTGACCAGTAGCCAAGGGCTTAAAAACTGCACCAAATCAAAGAGAAAAAATCCAATTGAACATGGTTGTTGTAAGATTTATAGGAATAAAAAACAAAGTCTTTATACCCAGAACAGATACTCAAAAATCCTAATGCCTTCTTCTCTATGTAAAAGCGAAGAAACTATAGAGAAGAAATCCATAGTTTCTTCATTCATCCAGGGTGAAGACCTTGCCCCTAGGCTCATCTTAAGGGTCTTCCCTACCTTTCCACAACATATGACCCATCTAAAAACGGAAGTTCTGTAGGGGGCAGCATCCCCATACGCCGGCTACAACGCTTCAATGATTTGGAAAATGGCTCCCTTGAGTTTAGCTTTAAAATTTCCTATGACCTCAAAATCATTTTCTCCGTGGCACAGACAACACCCCCTCCTTTTTTAAGGCACCCTAACAAGACAAAGACAGGGAGTGGCTGAGAGAACTCATCTACAGGGAGGCACTGCTGACAGAGACACATTGAAATACACGGTGTTTAGAAGAAAGCAGAGCCTGAGTGAACCGGGAGCCCATAGCAACACTGTCCCCTCTCCCTCACACTTAATGGACCTACACTGGGTTTGGGATCCTTTCTGTCTGGTACTCTTCGAAGACAAAACACAGGGACAGAAAATCACCTAAAACAAATACATAATCATCACTCATTTTATATAGTTTTATCGACCACACGTCATTACAGCCTAGTCATTACAGTGAGGAGGCCCGGTGATGCAGTGGGTTACGCACTGGGCTACTAAGCAAACACTCAGCAGTTCAAAACCACCAGTCGCTCCTCAGGAGAAAGATCAGGCTTTCCACTCCCAGAAATAGCTATAGGGTCAGAAACCCACAGAGGGTGGAAGGGCAGTGAATTATTTTAAGTGGCTCCTCTGGCTCAAGTCTCGAATTCCCACAAAAAGACCTTTCTTTTTATGGGTCTGGTGAGAAAGTGGGGGGAGATACTGATAGGATTCACCTGTGAGTAATTCTGAGCCAGATTCCCTGGAATTCCAGTCTGCTGGATCCTCCAAGAAGCAGCAGGGGAGATCTCATTAGCAGCAAGAGCCAGCAATGGAGCTCACCCTCTGGACCTGAGATCCCCCTGTGCAGTGGACCACCTGGATCCAGGTGACAGACGCCATCAGAGGAGCGGCAGCAGAACCAGGAGCCAGAGCATGGGACCCAGTGATGGACTGCCCAGCATGTGGAGCAGGTGACGACAGGCACTTTTGTGCAGAAGGTTGGCTGTGGTGTGGGGGGCCCTGGACACTTAATTCAAAGCTGGGCCTGCCGACCCACAGAAATGGAGCTGAGTGCCTTCCGGCTGAGGCTTACTGGAATGAGGCGCCTCTGGGCACTTACTTCAGGAACCTGGGTATGCTGACCCAAGGACTTTAACCTGATTGTCCTCAGGTTGAGGCTTACAGGAAAGGGGTATGCCTTTTGGGCAATTATTAGCGGACTTGACAGAACTTTGTAACGTGTCCTGATAAACAAGGTAACTCTGAGCATTTCTCACTGGCATTGCAACTTGTTACACTCCTTAATAAACCTTTTAATCATCAATTTTGTCTGGGAGTTCTGCATAGCCATGGCAATAGGTATTAAAGACTACAGAGTTAAACAGAGAACACTAAAAATTACAAGCAGTTCTACTCTGCCCTAAAGAGTTATGTGGGAAACTGATCACAATGACCTACATATAACCCCCTCCCAGGGGACAGACAACAGAAAAGTAGGTGAAGGAGACATTGGTCAGTGTAAGACATGAAAAATTAATAATTTATAAATTATCAAGGGTTCATGAGGGAGGCAGGGACGGACGGAGGGAGGGAATGCAGGGAAGGGAGGGGGAAATGAGGAGCTGATACCAAGGGCTCAGGTAGAAAATGTTTTGAAAATGATAATGGCAACGAATGTATAAATGTACTTGACACAATGGATAGATGGTTGGTTATAAGAGCTGTATGAGCTCCCAATGAAATGATTTATAAAAACAGAGTTATGTGTTGGAATCAACTCGATGGCTGAGATTAGAGTTTCAGGTACGATAATTTAGTCTCGCCCTCCTCCCATCATGCTCCTTTTTGGGTTGTTCTTCATGCCTTCTAAATCTCTTTTAAAAAGACCCAGCCACTCCTCGCTTCCTCTTTCTGTCACCATTTCTCTGTCAGAGAAGCTGGGCCACTTGACCTTGGCCGTTGACGTTGCTAGGTGCCATGAGTCAGTTCCAACCCACAGCGACCCCTATGCAACACAGAACGGACACCACACGGTTCTGTGCCACCCTCACCATTATCATTCTCACATTATCAGACAACAATTACGTTCTCTGTTTACCTCTGACGTGTTTCATATCTATTGCCATGGCTGTGCAAAACTCCCAGGCAAAATTCATGATTAAAAGGCTTATTAAGAAGTGTAACAAGTTATAATGGGCGTGAGCCCACTGTTGCAGCCCCTCGGTCAATCCACCTTGTGGAGGGTCTTCCTTTCCCCCCGCTGCCCTTGACCTAGCTTCCCACACACTGCCTGTTGCTGCTGGCACTCTCGGATGCAGTTCAGCATGTTCCTCTGTCCCCTCTGGTTCCAGCAAATTGGCAACTGGGTCTAGAGGCTGGGGTGACCTCAAGTTCTAACCCTAGGCGGCTGGCAGGACTATAAGAACACATTTGGCCTGGCTGCCTCCTCGCTTTCTGTTAACATTAGCAGCCGTTTAATCCTTAACATCTATATCAACTCATTCATTTCAATAAATAAATAAAATTCACAGCCACTGAGTCGATTCCAGTTCACAGGTGTTACAAACTGCTGATATGCTTTCATTTCTCTGTAAGTTATGAGTTGGAGTCCTTTTCTCTATTTGTTGTTGTCGGTTAATGATGCTTTATTTCCACACTAAGTTCCACAGAGTCCAAGTTCAAGCACTCAGATACATTTCAAATATACTTCCAATAAGTCGATATATAAAACCTGCACACACCGCGAGTCAGTAAGAAAGCTGACCCCAGCTAGCAGGAGCCGTCTCGTCCCTGAATGCAAGTCGTAGAGGAGCACTGACTGCGAGTGCCGTGGCTTTATTTTTTTCTTATTATTTTACTGGCAGCTCTTATGGATAGTGTAACAACCCGTCATTCAATTAGATCAAGCATAACTGTACAATTGCTGCCACCATCATTTCTAAAACACTTTCTTTCTTCTTGAACTCTTTGATAGCAGCTCCCTTTATCCCATCCCCTCCGCACCCTGTCCCCCAGGAAACCTTATTATTACATTATATATTATTTGGCCGTATCTTACACCATCCAAGGTATCCACTCACCCACAATTCTGTTATCTGTTCCCCTTGAGTGGGGTTATTATTGCTATCAGTCGTTGAAGTCCTTTTAAAAGAGACACTTTTTATTTACGAGTTGGTGCCCAGTAGTATAGTTCATATGGATAAAAGCTGTACATACGACATAAAAGGGATACAGACCAGCCCCACATTCGGCAACTATTTCAATTTTCTGCAGATAACACTCAAGCTCATTGCCATCAAGTTGATGGCACCTCATAGCGACCCCACAGGACAGGGTGGAAGTGCCCCAGGGTTTCTGAGACTGTGATTCTTTCAGGAGCAGAAAGCCCACTCCTTCCCCCACAAAGCAGCTGGTAATTTTGACGTGCAGACCTTGTGCTTAGCAGCCACTGAGGCTCCTGTTCTGAAGATAACCCCTCCTGCTGAAGAGAAATGTATGGCTACACTAGCCTTTCTAGATCTCCCCTCCAGCTATGAAAAAGTACTTTATGACAAAATGCCTCTTTGGATTTTTAAAATCTGTTACTTTAGAATACTAAGAAAATATTAAATTTGGGGCTGTGAGTCCGCTATCAATTCACTGCCATCAAGTTGATTCTGATTCACAGCGACTCTATTGCACAGGGCTGAACCTGCCCCTTTGGGTTTCCAAGCCTATAAATCTTCACAGGAACAGACAGCTTCATCACTCTACCACAGGGGTGGCTGGTGGGTTTAACTGCTGTCCTATGTACATGTACGGAACTGTTAGGTATATAGACAGTGAAGGAGCCATGTAAGGAGGACCGTGTCTCTTGTCATGTATCCGTCTAGGACCGTTGGTTCTCATAAACTGCTTCCTTACTGCAGACTGTAAGGAATCTGAGGACCAGCTGCACAGTGTTCCCTGGGAGCAGTAAACAAGAGCAGGGCGGGCTGAGATAGGGAACTCTGTCACGACTATGAGAAATTCAAGCGTGGGATTAGCGAACTTATCTGGGAACACTGCCAGTATTTAGTAGATAAAAAT